ATATTGTCTAAGCATGAGTCTCCAGAACTGCTGTCGCAGTGCACGATAAGGCATGTATTTTGCCTTGACAAATAGTTCAGGGAAGTGTTTATCTTCCCATCTTTCTTTGTTTTTCAGGGCTAGCTGTATCCGATAGACCTGAAGGCCGTTCGACTCGAGCGGTCCGATGGGATCGCCTTCGAAACTGGCCGCTGTTGGGGTTGAAGGCTGGCTGCTCTCGGGAATTTCGGGGATACTTCGTGGAGGTAGCAATGTCGAAGATTGTTCCTGCAGTGTCTGACTTGATAAGGAAGTAGAAGAACCTCTGGGTGTTGTGCCAAACTTGGGTGACGTTGACAAGCTGTTGGCCGAAGGCGATCTGCTAATGGCAATTCTTATCTCTGAGGGCCGGCTGGAATGACCTTGCTCAGCCCCTGTGGGATCCAGAGTCGGGTCGACGAACTTGTATAGACCGGTTTCGGGGTCAGCCTCAGGAGCGGACTTTATAAGCGTCTGGACCGGGAACGAAGCGGAAGCGACAAAGTCATTTCCAGAGAACTTGTCTCTGTCCATGACGGTGAACCCGATAGTATAAGATTGTTCATGTTTCATAACCTGAAAGACCATCTTCTCGTTGTAAACTGGGTTGAGATTGTGACGCACGACCGGCGTTCGAAGCGTCTTTCTGCCGAGAGACGTGACCACGAATGGATCCATGTCAAAGGAAGTGCGCGTCACTGTTGCGGGTTAGCAAAGAAGTAGGAGCCATAGGAGGTGGCGCGTCTTACCATTCCGTTCCGGCGGAAGGTCTGTCACTTTGACAATTTCCATGAAAACGATACCCTGTACTCCGTTACCAGCACCCGAGAATTGATAGGCTCTAGCGGCAAGAGATTTGCGCTTCAATCGCTTGAGCCGTAGTCTGCGTCTTCTCTTCTCGACAACCTCAGGTTTCGTAGGGTCGTCTGTCTCATCCGAGGTTTCTTCTTCTCTGTCGACATCATCCAGCGTGATGGACGGGATCTGCGGAAAATCATCCTCCTCATCTCCAGAGGACACCATCGTTTTGAACTTGTGATAGGTGTCCGTTGGCGAAGCGTTCGGATTCGATGCGTCGAGGAGTGAAAATTTCAGAAGAATCTCCCCAGAGACCATACTGTCCTTCTTTTTAGTTGGTTTTCGCTTCGATTTGAGTGTATACCATTTTGGCTTGAGGGCATATGTCAGCTCAGCTCGATCCAAGCCACACGAAACGGGCGCCTACCTGCTGATGAACGTCACCGTTCTGAAAGATATCTTCCAGTGCTATGTCGAACTCGCCCAGGTAATCTTTGCCGAATCTATCATGGTCCCAACAAATGCACTCCAACAGCGGTACGCCAACCACTGGCATCTCGAATGTCACATTCCATTCTGGATTCAAGGTCTTGGGAATCGTGGGTGTTGATTGTCGTGCGTCTCCGAGCGTGACTACCAAGTACTGCAGAAGAGGAGGTTTTCGTCAGCCACAAAGGTCCAAGACGAGATGATTGATTTTGCCATTAATTGAAAAGGGGAGACTCACCGGATCGCTAGTCCCTCCTCGATCCTTAGCTGCAAGATTTCGTCCCTGAAGGTATATGCGACCTGGGTTAGCGGATCAATGGAACTGTGGTCAGAGCTTCCGTAGAGCTCCGCGCGCTCGTAGATGCGACATTCTCACTCACCCGAATGACGGAGACTTTCAGGATTAACGGCTTCTGCTCAGGCATTCGCATCGGACTTGTACTCCTGCTTTGACCGGGAGTCGGGTTATTGCTTTTCGTGCTCAGATGGCTGCTGAGACGTTGTGGCAATGGTAACCGCACCATGGTGACCGGCCGGAAGTGCGGGGGAAACAGGCTCGACGAAGGCGGAGGAGGACAGGACACGTCGCGTCAACACGGGAAACTGGACAGGGAAAGCGGTATTAGAGAAGAACTATCGCATCAATCAAGTGCCCTGGAGGGCTATTGGGAAATATAGTACATTGGAAAAGCGGCCAGAGCTCCCCGGCCACCGTGACGAAGAGGTGTCACGGTGTGGTTGCCTGTCAGGACGAACTGCCGGCTGATCTAAAGTACTACTAAGTGGTGCTCTCACTGTGTCTGGGTCCGCCCAGTGAAACCAGGAGACGGAGCCACGATCGGACAGTACGGGAATCAACAGGAGAACTTCACCCACCCTGCAATTGGCACCTTTTGGTTTCTAGAGATGCAAGGCCAGGAGCATTGCGCCCACAAAACCGGTGACAACGAAAATGGGGTGGAAAGAGAGGGAAAGCTTAATGCACGGACTTGGACGGGGTGAATACAGTAATAATACTCCGGAGTAGTAATAATAATAATACGACGACTGGGGAGGGAGGAACCACCCCAACAACAAAATCAACAACTAGGTCGGCAGTAATAATAATAGGAATAATGATAATAATAATAATAACAATAATAATAATAATAGTCAAAGCTAAGGGGTACTAAGAATAATCGACGATGGAGACGGAAACTGGGTCTGGGAAAAAGGAGAAGGAAAGCACAACAGCAACTGACTGACTGCAGCAGCACCTTCGTATTGTGAGTGGGGTTTTGGGGTGGATGTCGTACTGTTTAAGTCAGTCAGTCAAGTCCGTGAGTCCCTTTTTTTGAGTACTCGTCGATGGGCTTCTTCTTGTACTTGAACCTCGGAGTTCCCAAGACTCTAATTTATTCTGCTGTTTGGGAAGCTACAACAAGAGGAATGGCTGCAGCGAATCCCCAATTCCCAACAACGGGAGCAAGTGAGGAGTTGCGGAAGCCGCCGGTTACGCCCTGGATATTTAGAACTCCTCCTATTAAATCGGACCCTGGTAATTCGTCGAATGCTATAGGGCTAGAAGGTGCTGGAAGAAGTGGACAAGCTGGTACTTAGATAAGACGTTCAGGCCCACCGGGCGAGTGATCATGAGTCTTGTGAAGTTAAGGAAGGAAAGGAAAACTGGCAGCCTAGTACTAGTACTACTATTCCGTAGAGTGGATGGGGGTTGTGGCTATGGGGATGTGGCTATTTCCGAGCTCTTCCATCTGGACCACTCACCGATCATCTTGTCTTAACTCTTGTCTCGTATGCTCTCTACCATCTGGAGAGTTCATCCACTGGCTATGTACGGAACATCGGAATCCAAATCCAATTACTACTATTGCCGAGCACATTTCTTGCTGCCTGAACGTCATCTGAGAACCCCCTCATAGTTTCATCCAAGGCTCAGATCCAATGAGAGCGAATCCATCCAGTAGATCGACTGCCCCTCGATCCCGAAGCATCCAATGGATGTGTCTAACGTGAGATTCACTCGGGCAAAGACGACAACGGAGGGGCTATGGATCACTGCCTCGCTGTCCCTGCTTCAGCCCTGTAACCCCCCACCCCCGGAGTAAGTCAACATGTCAATGAATAACCGAAAAGGTCGAAGGGAAAGGGAGTATGAGTAGTCTATTAGAAACTGGGACTGTCGGAACTCGGAAGCAAAGCGCGATTAAAGATGGTTGCCTGGAGGCGGTGGAAATGAAGTCACTCTGGAAATTCTGGGTTGGATTTTGTCCAGAAACAAAGGCATTAGGCAGTTTCCCTCTCCACTTCCTCATGCTTGAACCATGGTTCGGCCCATCGGTCAAATGCTTTGCAGCTTTAGAGTCTTGACTGTCGATAATTAGCTACGTGTAGCAGGAGATCATAATTTGTGCTTAGGCGGACTTCACTATCGGTGAGGTTCTCACCGATAAAATATTTATTTAACCATGGATGCTTGTGGGAACGAAGCTCAAACTACGTACTTAAGTCACGAAGAACGATGAAAGTGACTGGTCAGTTGACGGAGCATTCAAGCTGGTTGCGCATCGTACGGAGTAAGGCTTTACAAGATACATGTCCATCACCTGGCTCAATCAGGATCAGATTCTCTATCTGTACTACCGCCAACAGTTCCCGTCAATCTGGGGTCTCCCGAAGCGACACGTTTTTGCACAGTCCCTTGCTGCGGAGTAAACTGCTACTTGCGGGTTAACGCCGACCTCGCAATCGATCCCAGAGAAATAGATCACCTCTATGGATTCAAGCTGGAATTTTCATCGACCATCCAGCACGGCTCAGCAGCTGTGTTGTGCAGTGGCGGGGTCATTGCTGTATAGATAAGGGCCGTTCTTCGCCATAGTATTTACAGTAAGTGCTACCACCACACAGTAGTACTAGTTAAGAGTACCTCTTCCACCCCAACCTGACACTTTCACATCATATCCTCTTTCCAAACCAACGTACAGACGAACCAACAGTTCATAGCTACCCAAGCTAGTGTCATAGAGAAGGGGAGGGCAGGAGCGACCGTCTCTCAGCTGAGTGGGTTCAAAGTACACTTGTCGAGCCATGACTTCAAGACTGATCAGCGAACAGGGACCTCTGACATGGTTAGTTGTTTGCCTTCGACCTAATTTGGGATGAACTGCAGCATACTCACTCCTGTGATAGGCCAAACGATTGCTACGTCTAAGGGTCTCTATCGAGGCCACGAACTCCTCAGATCTCTCGCGGCACCCAGCCACTGGAGTTTCAAGCCAACGCTCCTGGTCGGCTCTTCCAGCTATCTACACAATATTGGTACTCAACAACTGCAAAACTATTTGACGAGTCACTGGCCTGTCGAGCATAATGAAATCGCCTCTCCTCCACTCATGATACATCCATACCGCCTTCCAGCTGACTGAGGCTTTGATGCAGTTAAGCTGTGGGCGACCGAGTCGGGTCCACGACTAGGCTGGCCGCTAATGCAGCAGCGGTTCGGGATGCAAATCAACCTCAGCCGAACACCTGAGCACCACCTATCATATGGAGTACAGGTGGCTGGCAGCTTTTGCTGCAGTCGATCGATTGGCCAAGGCAGACCTTCAGCTCGCCAAAAATTGCAGTGCTTCCTTTGGGTTCCTCCACTGATGCTTATAAGACTCCTTTCCTCTGCCAACTCTCCGTGACCTACCTTTACATGGTCCATCGAGTACCCCGCCATCTTGCTGGAAGAATCACTTCATATCCATGTTTGGACAGTGATTCTGCAGCAAACTTATCCTTCGGGCACATTCCTGCAGATATTTACTGCCATAATTTGATTTGAAGACAACATGGGCTGGTTTCCGACGACCCTCGATTCCGAAGCACAGAGCTGGCGTTTTGATATCGTCTCCCTTCTGGCTATCATCGGAGGATCCTCTATTGAAAAGCATAAGCAGGCAATCACGGCGTCCCCATTTGCCGGGTTCCCACGTATCCTACCCGCCCCTGAATCACTGCTGGATACAGATCGGCCCAACCGACTCCCCTCTGTCAAGGAAGTCACCATCATTGGCGTCAAATCCGGTACGCGCTTCACCGAACTCAATTTTTTCGCCAATGTCATCCACAAGCTCGAGGAGCTGGAGGAGTATGAGTTTCGGTCCTACCAGATTACATATCGGGAACCGGAGAAGGACACCATCAAAAGCGTAGCAGAGGTGGATGATGTCGAGAATGGAGGAACGCAAAATGATGCCGAGCAAAAAAGCCAGCCGGACGACGACAAGAAAGAGGTCATCGTCCCGTTGAAGTCGCTCAGTGCGCTAAATCTAGTGACCTTGATTTCAATTCTAATGACCATCGGCCTCTTCATCTGGGCAGGTATGATCCACGACGGCGTGGCCCTCGTCGCCCTCGCCGCCATGTCATTGTCTACCAGCGCTGCCTGTCTATCTGCGCAATGGTATCCGAGGCTATCCACCCGTACGACCAAAACCAAAGTGATGAAGGGGGATATTGTCATGAAGACGCGTAATGGGGCTTTTATAGTGGTCGAGTGCCCCGAAGAGATAACGAGAGAGCTGTACGGGGGAGCAGAAAGCTGTCGCTACGTGTTTAAGACTCGAGGCCACCAAGCACTTTTGGCTTGCAGCACGGTCCTTCTCATGGCGGCAATTATTCTCTTCAGTAACTGCGGATGGACAATGCAGATTGCCGTCGGCGTCGCATACATCATCCTGAATATCCTATACTTTGCCCTGGCCTTGCTGATGGATCCGGGGGAAATGTGGGACCTGAGCCGATATGAGGTGGAGGGAGGCAAGCCGAAAAAGACGAAGAACTACACTAGAGCCTTGTGGGAGGCTATTCGGAAGACCAAGGAGGTCGAATGGGTGCGAAAAGGAGGCCTGGCCCCATCCACCGATGCATGGGATAAGTGGTTAAAGGAGGCCAAAAACAACTGCGGTGAAAATGCCGCGTCCTGGGATCCTGAAAGGGCAAGAGACCGTCTGATGTCGCAAGCGTCTTCCGAGGAGTCTGCTGCGTCAATGGAGATACAGCCACGTGCCCCGCCACAAATGTCAGCTAGCAAGTGATGCTGGCCATGGGGGTTGTATGAATCTGCAGTGCGTGCAGATCGATACGGATGACTTTTCCTGATTTTTACCGTGATGAATTATGAAGTGTTGGATATGAATGATTGACGTTATGACTAGATATGTCTGTTAGCGTTTGCGGATTCATCACTAGAGCTTTTCTGTCGATTACGAGATGCAGGTATACAGCATAGCGGCTAGACTGGGATATCTTCTACTACCTTGTTGCATTGGCGGGCTAGTTTCATGTTTGATATTTAACTAAGAACATACTACTACACTAATATCACGTTAGCGTTCATGTTAGTTATTAGGTGCAGTTGACTCATCTGAAAGCATATTAACTAGTTATTACTGGGAATGCCAAGGGGCATCTGTCTTCCACACATACATTTTTCGCAGCGCAATCACAAACCTACACACGCATACCATTTTACTACTTTTGTTAGACCATGTCATCACTCTCAATGTCACCGAACGGAACTGGAAGCGAGACCTACGGGTATACTACCATACCAAGCTTCCTAAATATACTAAACCATACTTAATTGACCAATTGAAGAAGGCTATATATCTCATACTGTAAGCACTCAAAAAGATATGGACCATACAGATATATTATGCAAGATACCCCAACAGCTACAATCTGATATTAGTCCCGTCGTCGATGATCGTCTCTTCCCCAGACCTCATCCGCACTAGCCTTCCCCTTCGTCTCCGGAACACGCCAATAGATAAACCCACCAAGGAGACACGCCATGCCCGTGAAGACCCAGTAGATCTTACCACGGCCGCCAAGGGCATCATTCAACATGGGGAAGAACTGCGCTACTACGAAAGTAGCGATCCAATTAGCAGCTAGGGCGCAGCTTTGCGTGGCGCCGACGGCTTCGGGGCCGACGAGCTCCGAGGCGAGGATGAATGGGACGGGGCCTAGACCGACGGCGAAGCAGGAGACGAAGAGGAGGACCGCGATAGCGGAGAGGACCTTTTGGTTAAAGTAGATGGCTAGGGCTAGGAGCATGGAATTGAATCCCATGCCGGTGATGCTGAGGAGGAGGCAGGATCGACGGCCGATTTTGTCGGGGAGAGGGGAGCAGGCGAGGGTGATGATGAGGTTGATGGCGGAGATGATGACGGTGAGGAGGGCGGCGGTGGTGGGGAGGATGGTTTGTAAGAGGGAGACGCTGTACATGATGATGCTGTTGATGCCGGTGAATTGTTGGGAGATCATGACGCCGACGACGGCGATGATGGCTGGTCGGTAGGTTGGGTTAGTGATGGCGTGGAAGATGGTGACGGGGGGTTGTTTGGGTGGCATGTTGCCGGATGGTGGCGTGAGGAGCGATTGCTCTTCGCCGGAGATGTCATCGGTTGGTCCTGCTGTTGAGGATGGCCATCCTTCGATTTCTTCTTCGATGTCTGCGTCCTTTCCGCGCAGCCGTTGCAGGACTTGTCTGGCTAGATTGCTCTTTTGGTGCTCGGCGAGCCAGGTGGGGCTTTCTGGGACTAGGGTGAGGCCGAGGAGCTGGAGGGCTCCGATGAAGCCGGCAATGGCGAGGATGAATCGCCATTTGCTGCCCTCGCTTAGGAAGTATCCGAGGGACTGGGTTAATAGGATGCCGACGTTGGTCATGACCTGCGTGAAAGCACCAAAGAAACCTCTGGCGCTGGGTGGAGCGATCTCGGAAATGTAGATGGGGCCAACGACAATCGCAGCTCCTGCTCCAATGCCGGACAGCAGCCGGCCTAGACTTAGAAGGGGAATGTTGGATGCGCATGTTTCAGCCACGGGGCCCAGGATGAAGAATAGCGTGGTTGCTCGCAGAGCAAAAAGGCGACCATGTTTGGTGGCAACTGGCCCTGCCAGCAGGGCTCCTAAGAGTCCACCAAGGGTGTAGATTGACGACACCAGGCCGAATTGCGAAGCGTTCATGGGGATACATTGTGGTAGAGAGAGTGCCTCGGTGGAGGAATGGATGCTCTTCCGCTCGCAGGTGATCACCGCCTGAGGGGCATTAAGTTCGGCCTGTCGGATAGTAAGTGTAAGTATGAGCCGGGGGGGGGGGGGGGGGGGGGGGGGGGGGGGGGGGGGGGGGGGGGGGGGGGGGGGGGGTTGAGGTTGTAGATGTGGAAAGGGTAAAACCTACCAGGTGATAACCGAATTGGAGTGGTCCTAATGTTGTGATAAACACGAGGTAGATCAAGTATGGCGTGACCCGAGATCGGATCGGTTCTGGAGAGACCATGATTGTGGTTTGAGACGTTCGTTGAGTACGGGGGGTCTCAATAATCCACAGAGCTTTCGGTCAGTAAATGGGGGACAGATCTGCTGTTACCCGGTCATTGCACCTGGATAAATGGAAGGGAATGGCAGTCAGTCGGAGAGGAGCAGCGTGTTGATGACGTTGCGGATGGGCGTCTATAATCGGGACAAGGAAACTCCGCGTTATCGGGGGGGAATCCAGGGGGAGGAGTCTTATCAACAGGAGGGAGTGCAGTGGATGGCTTGCAGATGGTGTATATAGGAAAAATATAGGATGGAAGACAGCAATTTATGATTGAGATAGGTCAATTGTAGAAATGTAAGCCAGACAGAGTTCAAACATCCTACAAAGTACAATTAGTTATTATTATCTATCGTGTCATTGTTGATAAATGGATTGATCAATTGATTGCTTGGGTGAGGAGGGGAGGGCTCAAAGTGATGAGTCAGCCACTTTCCCTCCGATGCAGCCTCACTCTTTCATTCATTCATTCACTCACTCACTCACTCTTTGGCGCCGGTTTTTGGCTTTTGGCTTTGCGGTGTTTCCCTCTTATTTGCCTTTTTGGCTTTAAGTCCTTCTTGTTTTTTCCCACTCCTCTCGGCGCGTGTTGGTCCGTCTCAACTCACTGACCATCCTTCCTCCTGCACGCTTGCTGTTGGACCTTTTGTTGCTTTCCCCATAGTGGTGGAGATCAGTGTCTCCGCGTATGGTTCCCGGACTCCATCGCAGCGTTGCAGTTTCCACGGATAGCCTAAAAGTACCCTCTTCTGACCTGACCACTTTCCCCTAACGAACTAATCATCATCTTTCCCTCCTCCCTCCTCGCTCTCTGATTCTGACTCCCTTTTCCGGTCGCCTCCACCTCGTCCATGAGTCTGACAAACCCGCCTTCCTCGTCCGGCCCGTTAAGTACGACTTCCAGGCCCGCTGCGGCCACCGTCAGCCAAAGTCTGTCGCTGAAGAAGAGCCTGCAGGCTGCTGTTGATGGTAATACCGGTTACTGTTACTCTGCCTCTGCTTAGCTTGACTTGACGCTTTTCCTGTCTTTCCCCTTCCGAGCACCCTCTTTTCGCCCGTGTTGCCACTTTTTATTTTCTTCTTACTATTATTGATCGCTGTCTGAACCCGCTCCGTCACCATGTACTTTGGTTGAACCTTGCGCTGCTGTCAGATCTACTACTACTACTATTCTATCTTTCCTTATATTATCGTTAAATGCCCTTGAACAGTCCCTGTCTCCACGCCTGTTAACGGCTGTTCTGTCTGTTCTTTTTCCATGATGTTTGGAAGGAGCTTCCCGTTCTATAATTCTCTCGGCGGGTTTTATCCACGTGGTAATGGCTTTCCCTCTCCAGACTAACCCGCCGTCTTTCGGCCGGTTATAGAGGCTGCAACAATCTCGCCTCATCCTTCTCATCCTCCTTTCCCCCATTAGCTCTCCCCTTTTCACCCCTATTCCTTTTGGTCTTTCGGACTTTTTTTCACTCCCCCTTGATCCTTGCTCGTGGAATTTAATTGGCTGTTGAATTCTTACGTTGATTGTGGACAAGTGCATAGTCTCCCTGCTGACACCCTATATCAAGAGAGTCTAGATGCGAGAAAGCCTCCTGGCTCTGGTTACACCAGCAAAGTACGTGTGCGCGATAGATACCACATTGTGGGATTTATCAGTAGTGGTACTTATGGCCGTGTCTACAAGGCCATTGGCAAAAATGGCCAGAAGGGAGAGTTTGCGATCAAAAAGTTGGCATCCCACTCCTGGCATATTGGCTTCATCACATGACTTACCCGCTATAGGTTCAAGCCGGATAAAGAAGGCGAAATTATTCAGTATACCGGTCTTTCCCAATCAGCCATCCGAGAAATGGCCTTGTGCTCAGAATTGGACCATCCCAATGTAGTGCAGTTGGCAGAAATCATCCTGGAGGACAAGTGTATCTTCATGGTCTTTGAGTACACAGAGCATGATCTGCTCCAGATTATTCATCATCACACCCAACCGCAAAGGCATGCCATCCCGGCCTTGATGGTTAGATCGATCCTGTTCCAGTTGCTCAATGGCTTACTGTATCTTCACACCAACTGGGTACTGCATCGGGATCTGAAACCAGCAAACATCTTGGTGACTTCAAGTGGTGCGATTCGCATTGGAGATTTGGGACTTGCCCGTCTCTTCTACAAACCTCTCAACTCTCTCTTCTCTGGAGACAAAGTTGTCGTCACCATCTGGTACCGTGCCCCTGAGCTCTTGATGGGGAGTCGACATTACACCCCAGCTGTTGACTTGTGGGCCGTCGGGTGCATTTTTGCGGAGCTGCTATCGCTCCGCCCTATCTTCAAGGGCGAGGAAGCCAAGATGGACAGCAAAAAGACGGTGCCATTCCAGCGCAATCAGATGATGAAGATTATCGAGATTATGGGGCTCCCAACCAAGGAGATCTGGCCTGGCATCGTGTCCATGCCAGAATATTCGCAGCTGCAGTCCTTGGCAATGTCGCGTGCCCCGGGGCATTTCAACCGATCCTCCAACCTAGAAGGCTGGTATCAGAGCTGCCTGAAGAACAACGGGTACTCCGCCAACTCGAGTGCTGGCACACCCGGGGCAGATGGTTTCGATCTGCTGTCACGCCTACTGGAATACGACCCGACCAAGAGGATCACCGCGCAAGAAGCCCTCGAGCATCCCTACTTCAAGAACGGGGGTCCTATCTCCGCCAATTGTTTTGAAGGATTTGAGGGCAAATATCCTCATCGTCGAGTGACACAGGATGACAACGATATTCGCTCTGGCAGCTTGCCTGGCACAAAACGCAGCGGACTGCCTGATGATAGTCTGTTGGGAAGGGCAACCAAGCGCTTAAAAGAGTGATTTATTCTTTTTTTAATATCTGAAGAATGTTTGGATGTACAAGGAGTTTAGGGCTGGGTGGCATTTTGTGCGGATTTCTAGATATGCATTTGGAACTGGCGTTTTTTCTATCTTGCAAATATGCTTATCTTCGTGCACAAAGCTAGAAATTAGGGAAACTCCGAACTAGCAAGCATGTATACAATGAAATGAGCCAACTTCAAATTTGTGACACGGTATCATATGTGTTCAATCTTGACATATCCAGAATATGCCGAAAATCTTAAAACTAAATGCAAATGACGCCCCTCCCAACCCATAGATAATAGTACCCTAATCCAATCCCAGTATACTAACAACAACTAATCCCATACAAACCATAACAAAATCAATATCCTATTAAGTAACCATCAAGTTTAGCAAATCCACATCCAATCTCAACGGGATAAAAGGACAAATACATACCACTCTGCTCCCTCCGACCACCCCCCTCGCCACCATCCCCATCATCATTACCACCCCCACCACCCCCAGCAGCAGAAGACGCGGCATCCCGAATAGACTGCTCATCACCCCTCAACTTCTCAAAGTAGGACTTAATATCCTCCGCACTAACCGCCTTACCCGTCTCCGCAAACGGCTTCAAAAACTCCTTCACCTTATCGCGCAGATGGTTGTACACCATTGCGCCCTCGATAGCACGCACTCGGTCAATGTTGCTCAGTGCTGCTTCACCACGGTCCAGAAGACTGCCTGTGCCGGTGCTGCCTCCCCCGTTGGGACCCTCGCCGTCGCCGTCTTCGGACATGGGCGGTTCGTAGGTCTCTTCTTCTTCACGTAGTTGGGAGTGCGATGCTAGGTGTGGGTAGCAGTCGCGGCAGCGGCAGAAGTGGTCGCGGAAGTCGTCTTTCAGGAAGAGGGAGAAGGTGTGGCTTGGGGGGGTTGGGGGGAGGTGGGTGTGTTTGGGTGGGGAGGGGTTGGTGGTGGTGGTGGTTTTGTCGGTATCTTGGGCTGTGTTGGGTTTGGATTCAGTGGTGGTGGTAGTGGTCGTGTCGTTGTTTCCGGGCTTGGGCTCTTCTGTAGGCTCTTCTTTTGGTCGCTTTGGAGCAGGATCGCTTTCCTCGTCGGCGCTGTCGTCCGCTTTGCGTTTCTTGGGGTTGCTGGGTTGCTCTGGTTCTGTGGTCTGGGGCGTTTGTTCTATGGTGGTAGGTTTGGTTTCCTCTTCTGAGGGTTTGGCGAGTCCGCCTTCTTTGTATACTGGGGGTAGGAAGCCCGGTGTTCCCGCGTAGCGCTTTACCCAGGGATTCGAGTCGACGCACTTGTAGCAGAGGAAGATCGCAAAGTCTTCTTCCGCAGGGAATCCGGGCGGAAGAGGGGTCTCTTCTTCCTCGTCATCGTCGGCTGTCTCTCCATCGGTAGCTCCATCTTTCTTCGCACCCTTGTACCAGTCGCGCGGCAGGCCGATCAGGCATTCTGGGTGCCACCAGTCTTCGCCGCAACCACCGGTCTCTACTGTGCCCAGACCCAAACACTGGAACATCGTACCACGCTCCTTATGCGGGTCATAGTCCTCGCCGCATCCGCAAAACTTGTTCTGGAAGTTGTGGTTGTAATTGTTGCCTTGGTGAGGCTGTTCTGAGTGCACGCCTTTCGCGCCGGTCTTGGGATCGTTCCGAAGGGTGCATGGAGAGGTGGCGGGCATGCGGGTTGTTCCACAGTCGCAGACAAAGTTCCGCTTGTTGAAGAGCTCGACGAGATCGTGTTCGCCATGGCAGGAGATGGAGCATGAGTAGCACACGGCGGCGGGGGTATATGACTCTTCGGAGGTGGAGGGATTGCAGGTAAGGCAGGCGAAGAGAGATTGGCGAAGGGGTCCTAAGTCTTGTGTACAAGTATCGAATGACTTGTATAGATGTTAGTATGATTTATATTTCTTCACCTTCTTCTTCTCGATACGTAGGCAAGGTAAGCTTACATATGGAAGGACTTCACGCGCATCGGCTTCAAGTCGAATCTGCGATTCAATGAATCTGTAGAGGCATTAGTTGTCTGCGCAACAGGTTTACAATGTAATCCCATTGCATGCGCGTTGTAGGTCGATGAATACTCACTCTTTCGCCGTCTGCGAGTTTTGAGAGCTGAAGCTCTCGCGGCGCCCTGCAATAGTCTGTCCGTTCAGTGCCTGTCCGGCATTGAAGGGTGGGTCGCCCGACTCGGTGTTGGCCATGTCTATGGAAGATCCGTCACGCGATACAGAAATAATCTCAATGAAAGTTCCTATTTAGAGAGATTGATCGGTTTATGAAGACTGAAGGATCGGTGATGGTTGCGCATACGGAGGAGGCTGAGCGGCGGCGATGGTAACGCGCCGGCGCGCAACCGTAAAGTGTTTGCCGTGTTTGCACTTATTTGGTTGGTAATCTGCTCTAAATTCACCAGATTGGGGCTTCTAATGGATGGTTTGAAGGGTCTCTTTGAAAAGTATAATAAACTAGTCAATGGGATTCTGTCTCTATCCTTTATTGCAGTCTCTGGTGTTGATTGACGATGCTTTTAGTAGCTAAGTATAAGCGCAGTTGGATTCCTTCTCGCTCCTGCAGAACCACCCCACTGTAGTCTGTACATACCTCGGTGACAATTTAACTAGACCATGAGGAGTAATTCCGATATGAACTATTCTGCATGACGTACCAAGAGCTCCATTTTCCCACTACCCAGAAGTCGAGTGTATCCACGAAGCATCTTTTATTCCACTTATTCGTTGGGCTCAGAGCGGGTCGCATTTCCGAATCGGGGTTTAATTGAAAACGGACGCGTCGCTGGCGCGTCTCGGAGACGCGTTCGGCGCCAAGTCCAGGATCTTCTCAGCTTGTGGCCCTTCGAACTCCTGCGTTGCCCAACGGAAAAGAAAAAAAGACCCTCCGCACGGCTGTCTCTTCACCTTCCCTCAGTCTGCCCCTTCCACCTCCCCGCCTGTCAGACTGAACACCACACACAATGAGGTATGTAATGTCCTCGCCCATTGATTGTCAATGTTGCTTGGAACCACCTTGTTTGGTTGCCTCTCAAAACATTCGGAATACTAATAATGTCTTCCCAGTTCACCACTCCGTCCCAGCAATTCTGCTGCAAACCGCGGCCTAGGGAACCTGGGTCGTCGTAAGAGATCCAGAGAGCCCGATGATGAGACCTCATCGGTTGTTCCCCCCTCGAGTCGTAAGTCATGCTGTGATGGATGGCTGGTTCCTGATACTGACGCTGGCAATAGCCCCCCCTTCTTCCCCTCCCATGCTTCCTTTCGACGACGATGACAACGAGCGCGATGAGGAAGCAGAGCTCCTGGGTGACATTGATGATATCGACGAGATGGCTGAAGACGAGGACGGAATCGATCTGTTTGGAGACAACTTCGAGAAAGATTACCGAAGCACAGCAGACGACCAGTACAGAGGAGAATACATCGACGATGACGGCGACCATGAGGAACTTGATGTCGCTACTCGTCGTCAACTCGAAGCCCGCATGAACAAGAGAGATCGAGAACTCGAACGTCGCCGTCGCATGCCTGCGGCTTTCCTGCAGGACGACGAAGATGGTGACATAGATCTCACTCGTCAACCCCGTCGCCGGAGACACCACTACGATGAAGACCGGGACGACGTCGAGATGGGTGACGATGCCATGGAAGAGCTCTCCCTGGAGGAGTTGACTGATGTCAAGGCTTCCAACCTTACGGACTGGGTTCTGCAGCCCCAAGTCCTTCGCTCCATCTACAGAGAATTCAAGTCCTTCCTGACAGAGTACACCGACCCTGCCGGTGCTTCGGTCTACGGAAACAAGATTAAGACCCTTGGTGAGGTCAATTCGGCTTCCCTTGAAGTTTCTTACGCCCATCTACTGGAAACCAAAGCGGCTCTTGCATACTTCCTTGCCAACGAGCCCACTGAGGTGCTGAAGGTCTTCGACCAAGTCGCGCTTGATGTCACTCTCTTCCACTACCCCCAATATCACGATATCCATAACGAAATTCATGTCCGCATTACCGATCTCCCTGTCTCCTATACCCTCCGTCAACTGCGCCAGTCCCATCTCAACTGCCTTATCCGCGTCAGCGGTGTCGTTACTCGCCGTACCGGTGTCTTCCCGCAACTGAAATATGTCATGTTCGTTTGTGGAAAGTGTAACATCACTCTTGGTCCCTTCCAACAGGAAGCCAGTGCGGAAGTCAAGATCTCGTACTGCCAGAACTGCCAGTCCAAGGGACCCTTCTCTGTGCACTCCGAGAAGACCGTTTACCGCAACTACCAGAAAATGACCCTCCAAGAATCTCCGGGCTCCGTCCCCGCTGGTCGTCTCCCCCGCCAGCGCGAGGTCGTCCTCCTCGCAGATCTCATCGATTCGGCTAAGCCAGGTGATGAAATCGAGGTGACGGGTATCTACCGGAACAGCTACGATGCGCAGCTCAACAACAAGAACGGCTTCCCTGTGTTCGCCACGATCATTGAGGCCAATCACGTTGTCAAGTCCCACGACCAGCTGGCTGGTTTCCACTTGACCGAAGAAGATGAGCGGGAGATCCGTGCCCTATCCAGGGACCCTGAGATTGTCGACAAGATCGTTCGCTCCGTTGCCCCTAGTATCTACGGTCACCTGGACGTTAAGACCGCAATCGCCCTCTCCCTCTTCGGTGGTGTCAGCAAGGAAGCCCAAGGCAAGATGTCCATTCGTGGAGATATTAACGTCCTCCTTCTGGGTGACCCCGGTACCGCAAAGTCCCAGTTCCTCAAGTACACCGAAAAGACTGCCCACAGAGCCGTTTTCGCTACCGGTCAGGGTGCCAGTGCTGTCGGTTTGACAGCCAGCGTCCGTCGCGATCCCCTCACCAGCGAATGGACCCTCGAAGGAGGAGCGCTTGTCCTTGCAGACCGCGGTACCTGCTTGATCGATGAGTTCGACAAAATGAACGACCAGGACCGTACCTCCATTCACGAAGCCATGGAACAACAGACCATCTCCATCTCCAAGGCTGGTATCGTGACCACCCTGCAGGCTCGCTGTGCTGTTGTTGCTGCTGCCAACCCCATCGGCGGCCGCTACAACAGCAGCGCACCCTTCTCCGAGAACGTCCAACTCACCGAACCCATTCTTTCGCGTTTCGACATTCTCTGCGTCGTCCGCGATCTTGTCGACCCAAGCGAGGATGAACGTCTCGCCA